AGAAAGAACTGAACTTTTCCAACTGTGCTTTCAAGTTCTTTTTTTCTGTTAAGGCATGAAGGAAAAAGTGATTAAAGGAGAGTAAGTAAATTGCATCTGCTTTAACAGCTTAACCACAGATCCTTGTTGCTTTTTCTCTGTAGAACAGAAGTGGGCATACCTTTGGGGATACAAATTTGAAATTATCTTCATTTATAATATTGGCAAGAGGGTATCCATCATAGCTCTCATAGGGAATTCCAGAAACAAAGGCTGTTGGCCCATTTGGGTTCTTGATTTAATTTGACGAATCACTATTGTTAACTTGGATATCTGAATAGGTTAAAGTAGTAATTTAGGTTAAATAATTGCACATAAGGACCATGTGGAAATATGGATCATCTGTAACTTTGTTACAGTTCAAAGAGGTGACACTAGAATTAAGTTAATGATAAAGAAGAAACTGTCAGTGGGATTTGAAAGAGGGAAAACATGTCAGTAAGTTGTTGCTTTTGAGGTAGATGAGTTTTAATTTGACTGTGGATATGAGCAGCTGTGTTGGAAGACAGCTCTGTGCCTTTTGAAGATGAAGGCCGTCAGAGACCTTCAGCAAGTTATGTATTAATTAGAGGGAAAATACAGCTAGAAGAAGAAAAGGGATGCATTATTGATAAACAAGACGTTCATTTAAAATTCAGCATGTTTCTCTTTTTCTTATTCTAAAATACATCTCTCAACTTACACTGGCATTTAGGTCTTAACATTTGGATTTCTTTTGTCATATGATGTAATATTAATATTTGGCTTTTTTTAATTAACACTTTAAAACACATAAAAAAATAAAATGCAACATGCTTACAAGTCTAGATGTTTAGAATTGAAAGGTAAAATTCTAAATATTTAAGATTCAAACTCCAACATTAATAGTCCAGCTTTTAAAAGTAATTTTATGATCTTCATAAGGGAGAGCTCTAACCTCTGCTGGTTGAATAAATACACTTTGGGAGCCATTAGGGAGTGTGGCAAAAAGCGGGCATCCCTGTGTACCATTTAAGCTTGGAGAACAGTTCAAGAGGCAGCAAACCAGGAACTATAGTGGCAGGTCAGACAGGCCTGTGCAACTCGTTGCCATCTGTCATGGAAGGGCATTAGTAACTACAGCCAAGACGTAAGCAGGAAGTCATCTTGGAAGGATATAGATTCACTCCATGGAGTTCTCAAGAAAGGGAAGGACATTTGTCAGCTCCAGGTGGGGCTGCTGCCCCGCCATGTGCTGAGATAGTTAACATACGTGAGTTCCAGGGTATGGGAAGGCCTCCATGGGTGGTAGGAAAGTCTGGTCTGTGGAGCTCACATCTGAAAGGACTGTCCTATCATGAGGAGCAAAACAGAGGCAGTGCTGCCTTTCACTATTTGAGATGAACTGGCTGAGAACTCCAGTCTAATGTCAAGTGTCTGGAAAATGCTGGGTCTTTGCCATGTGCTGGGCAAGGTGCTTGAAGCTTTATATGTCTTGTCTCATTTATCCCTAGGAACTAGGGGTTGTAAGTACCCTCTCCTCCATTCTATAAGTAGAGAAGTTGAAGCTCAAGGAAGTTCAAAGAAAAAAAACAATGAGAGAAAGGAAAGAGACACTCATGTAATGTCACACAACTAGGAGAGCCAGTGTGTGAGCCAAGGTACTTGACTCCAAAACCAGCCTTTTAACCCCACTAGATTATACTCTACAGAAGTGTGTTTTATCCCATTATTTCATTTTAAACAGGAAAATAAAGACCATTGTAAGAAAATAGGCAAGCAAGAATAACCCACAAACAAGATGCCTACGGAAGTAAAGCTTACAGTAAGGTTAGGAGGTCAGGAGGAAGCAAAAGCAAACGGTGGCAAATGCAGTGAAAGAAAGAGCAGATTCTGAACCTCCGAGAGATACTGTAAGCGTTTCTCCAATACTCTAAGTAGCCTGAAGATGCACGGGGCAGAGTGAGCTCTCTAACGAGAGCCAGAGCAGTAGTGGATTCGGTGAACATCGGCTTGACTTCGCAAACTGACTATGAAACTCTAAAATCTTTATTTTGGAATCAGAGAATCCAGGACAGTTGTATGCAAGTTGGAGGTGATTGTGATCTGAACACCTCTGAAGAATCAGATGGGACTTGACAAGAATTCAGATTGTCGGATAACTTAAAACCTTTAGCCCTACAATATTAACAGGGTAAAATGCTTCAGAGAAAGCCTGTGCCACTCACAGAATACTCTATCCAGTGAAGAAGGGAAGGAGAGAGACTGAGCTGGGACAGGTTGCTTCAGCCAAGAGACCTTTTCCTTCCACGAAGTTCTCCATCCCTGGAAGGGAGCACCCAGGGCCCCTTTCTGGCCTGTGCTCACCTTCCTCCCCAGCTACGTTCCTATCAGCTTGCACAGTGCGCCAGAGAACAAAACACTTCAGAGCCATCCCCAGGTGCATCATTACAGGAAAGACAAAGGATCCCTGGCCCACATTTGACAAAAATTAGCATGAGTAACATGGGAGAGGCCCCAAAGCTCTGTATGCACTTTAGCTATTCACGCAGTGTCCTCACTGCTTTTAATGAAAACAGACCTTGCTGTTGTCATAGCAACACCAGCAACCGAAGATGTCGGACTGTCCTAGGGTGCACCCTCTCCCACCCCACCCTAACACCGAGCTATTGCAGGCTTCTTAGAAGCTTGTAAGTGGCAGCAAAAACATTTTCAGCTAGCAGGCACTCTTTTCTGCCAGTTCATCTCAATATTTTTCTTTTACTTTCACCTCATTCGTCCCAAAGCCATGTTGATGAGAAATAAACGGCCACACACGCCTTACGACATGGGCAGAAAATTTAGCGCAGGGATTAAGAGCTTGGGCTCTGCCTCTGAAGTGTGTGGTTTCAAATCCTGACACTTGCCTACCTGTGTGTGACTTTTCACTCATCTATAAAATAATGACGTTAGCGGTACCTACTTCCTGGGGTGACTGAGAAGATTAAGTGAGCGCATGCCTGGGGAGTGCTTAGCACAGGGTCTGCTACATAGTAAGCGGGCAATAAATGTTTGCTGCTATTAATATTCTTATGTTGTTACATAAGAGGTTTCATTTTTATATTGAGTTTGGCAAATGTTAGATCCTGGCCACTTGAAGCTGAAGGACGACCTGTAGTTAATGATTATCCCACAGAGATGGTTATTGGCTCAGCTTTCTGAAGGGGTGGCATCTCTTTTTAAAGGAGGGCTGCACTTTGGTGGTGTCACTTCTATATTTTGATTGGGAAATGGGTCCAGGAGTTGGGCTTTTTGAGTAGTGTTATTATGTGAATCCTTTCTTTTTCATTATACTCAGATTTGAGGATTTTCTCATATTGAGATATGCCTGTGATGGGAAAATTGTCACTTGAGGAGGAAAGGGCTTGTATGAGGCACGCCTGGGGGGCGGGCAGGGACGGAAGTGTCAAGCCCGGCACACCTCCACTGTACCCCGTGTGCTTTCTTCTACCCCCTCCACCCTCCTGTCTCAGAGATACCAGGGACACTGGCGAGAGCGACGGACCCCAGCCCTCTCGTGAATTCTTACTGTCAGGGCGAGTCTAGTCACTGCCTGCCTCTGGTTGGCCAGGCAGGTTTGCTTTCCTTCTTTCAGATGTGAGTTCCATAGTGACGCAACATCCTTGTTTCTAGGAGGGTTTTTTTTGACTCAGTTAGACTCATATTTGAGGTACCAGATATCAGTAGAAACAGTACCAAAGAGGGAAAGTCCTATTCCTAACGTAGCTCTATAAATTGTCCTCTCCAAGAGCTAGCTGCGCGGAGGGGAGCAAATCTTCCAAGACCAGGCCTTTGGGTTTCTTTGCACAGCTTTCCAGAACATACCAAGCAGAGGTGGGGGGCAGTTAATCTCAGCTCATGCCTTTTCTTCTTGCTCCCATCTCACTCTCAGGGTTCTCCAGCCTTTATTACAAAGTCTACTTTCTTATACCTTCCCCAGCAGCCGACCACTAACCTTACCTCAGTGACCTTCCATATGGTAAGGCTCAAAACATGCAACTGACATGAGTCAAGTATCCACAAACTGAGTATTTGTTTACAAATAATAAATTCTAGCTCATTCCCGCAACAAATATCTATGCCTTCTCTGTGCCTGTGTAAAACATCGGGCACATACAGTGGTGAGAAAATAAACCCTCTGAGGGCAGAGGTCATAACTAAAGGTAGTGAGGGAGATTAACGCGATGATGAAACCAACAAATACAGAATTATACATTTTATTCATGAAGAAAAAAAAACAAGAATGATACTGTGAGAGAAAATAACAAGGTCACCAACTCTGGAGTGAAAGATCAGGGAAGGCTTCTTTGAGGAGGTGATATTTAAGCCAAGACTGAAGGAGGAAAAAAAATCAACCAAGTAAAATTGGGGATCAGAGCATTTGGGGCAGAGGAAGCAGCAACGATAAGGACCCTGAGGCAGTGACATGTACCATGTTCTATGAGTGACAGTGGGTAGTGAGTGATGGGAAGGAAGGCAGGGACAAAATCCCGAGGCCCTGGGAGCTGTGATTTCATTCTGTGTGGACCCTGAAGCCAAAAGCAGGATAGTGACAATCCAAATTGTATTCTTCAGAGATCTCTCTGGCCACTGGGTGCCAAGTGGATTTGAAGAGGGAGAGAATGAAGGCAGGAAACCCAGAGGAGAGGCCATTGCAGGAGTCCAGACCAGCAGAGGTGGTGACTGGGGCCGGGATTGTGGCCATGGAGACGGAATGTGCTTGAACGTGTCCCCTTGTACGGGACAAGGAGAAAAAGAAAAGCCCCGAAATGCATTTTCAAGGCTGATTGTACAACTAGTTCTCATTTGGCTTTCTTTCTATGTTCTATTTTCCCATATTCAGAAAAGTTACACCTCTTTCTCATTTTAACCAGCTTAGTCTTTAGGAAAGTTGTAGGGACTTAGGCCAGTCTTGATTCTGAAGCCATGGTCTGAAATCTTACAAGTCACTCTTTATTTTACAGCCTACCAGGACTTCTTCCGAGAGCATTTATTCTAGACCAGGCTCCAGTATCCCTGGGTCCCCAGGTCATACTATCTATGTAAGTATCTACTTCTGGAAGAGACACTTCCGGACCAGGGGTGGTAGCAGCTGGTAAGCATGGACTGGATAATCCAAAAGTGAATAATTCAAAATGATTTTTATTTCTGTTATGAGATCCAGTTTTCTTTCTTGTAGATCAGCCACCTCAATCCCATTTTCCTCCACGTGATCAAGTGTTCATGTGAATGTGACCATCGGTACAGAGTGAACGAGTAGATGACCTGTAAAGTGCAGTGATACAATGCAGAACTTAAAAAATTGTTGTACCTAACTTGCATATAGATATTTGGGGATTAATTATACATTTTACAATGCTGATACTGAGTGTCTTTAAATTCTGCCACAGAGGTCTTTAAATATTTAGTTTATTAAGTATTCAGTTCTTGTTTTAGCCATCTGGGAGGATTTTTTTGGCCATCTGTTTGAGCTTTTCCGTCTCTGTAATAAATTTGGGAAATTATCCTAAATAGCCTTCTCTACTTGATGAATTCTACATAGACTTCTTCCTACGCTTTTGGTGACTTTTTTGAAAATGTGATTAATATTGGTATAAATTGGTATAAATCAAAGTATAGTTGATTTACAGTGTTGTGTTCATTTCTACTGTACAGTAAAGTGATTCAGTTATACATAGATATACATTCTTTTTCATATTCTTTTTCATTATGGTTTATCACAGGATATTGAATATAGTTTCCTGTGCTGTACAGTAGGACCTTGTTGTTTATTCATTCTATGTATAACAGTTTGCATCTGCTAATCCCAAATTCCCAATTCTTCCCACCCCCAACTGCCCTCCTAGGCAACCACAGGTCTGTTCTCTATGTCTGCGAGTATTAAACAGACAACTTTATAAAGAGTATGACCATGTTAAGCAAAGTGTTTTGGGTTTTGTTTATTTTTAAGGTTTTCACTTTTTAAGCAAGACATGAGATGCGCTAACCATAGTTCCCCGAAGATGAGACGGCAAAGTGATTTTTTCTTTCTGTTTAACTTTGGCAGGCAAAAGTGGACAATGAAATCCTGGATTACAAGGATTTAGCAGCCATTCCCAAGGTCAAGGCAATTTATGACATTGAACGTCCAGATCTTATTACCTATGAGCCTTTCTACTCTTCGGGCTATGATGACAAACAGGAGAGGCAGAGCCTGGGAGAGGTAATAAATTCCCAGAAGTTGTGAGTGGTACAACTTATTTCTCTTTGGCACATGTATAAAAACTGCTGACTGGAATCAAAATAAATCAGAGGGTCCTTTTGGTTGCCCACTGTTTGCAGGCTTCTGTACCAGGTGATTTGAGGTAGTCAAAAACCTATCACACCTTCCCTGCCCTTGGAGAGGTAGGGAAGCAGACCAACCACAGAAATCGGCAGTGCAGGATGAGGAAGCATCAGTACCAAGTTGTAGGATAGCAGAGCTGGCATGCTGGGAAGGAAGCCGAAGTTGTCACGGGAGACTCTGTGAGCTGGGCAGAGGGAATAAGGGAGGGAGAGTCCTCGGTGCAGGGGGGGGATGGGGTGGGGAATGGGGTCTTGGTTTGGGGGCAAGCTGAAGTACATTCATGGGGATCATGAGAGAGATCACAGCCCCTAAATTTTGACAGCTGCAGTTTTTAGCATCATAAGATACAATATGCAAGAAAAGACAAAGTAGAGAGAATTGGGCCACAGTACAGGACCGTGGTATGAGCTGGGCTTCTGGAATCAAGTTACCTGGGCTCAACCCAGGAAGTCCACATGCTGGTTGTGTGACTTTGACCATGAGACACCCATTCTGATCCTAGTTTTTTTGTCTGTAAAACAGATAATGACAGAATCTGCCTCATGGGGCGTTAGTGAGGATAAAACAAGCTATCTATTAAAGATTAATTATCTATATATCTAGATAATTTATCATCTATTAAAGCTAATCTACATTAACTAATTATTAAAGCAATTAGCAGAGAGCCAGACTCGTGGTAAATGTTCAGAAAATGGCAGCTACTACTGTTGTCTTTACCTGTTTTCTTGGGGCTTATTAATACTCTCCCAACATTAATGGTCCACAGGCTGGAGCTCAGCCTCAGCCCCTGGTGACCCTCCCCTCTCTGTCCCCTAGGTCTCATGGGCTCTGGTCTGTTTCCCCTGGCCTATTCAACTCACTCTAAATTTTTCCCCTTTTGTTTTTTAAATTGGAATCATCTACAGACTGATTTGAGTCCACTCAGAGAGGTGTTTCCCAAGTAGTGGACCAAAATCAGTCATTCAACCAAGGCTAAAACCAATAATCTGTAACATCACAGTGCTTTAAGATCTTAGATGAAGAAAGTTCGTGAAAACGTGGCAATTCTGTTTAATTTATTCTCAATAATGTATTATAATATTTATTGTTTTACAATCATGTCTGTATTTTTAATTACACACACACACACACACACACACACACAAACACACACACACACACACACACACACACACACACACAGAGTATTCTGGAGCATGGCTCTGCATTGAAATGGTCCTTTGGGCAGGAAGTGGTGTCTGTTTTCATGTAGTGCCACCTAGTGGTCATGCCGCTGTAACTGCATCTGCAGCCCCTCTCAAGAGCAGGCTGATTGGTCTGGGGGGTTCAATTGCATTTGGGTGGCAGAGCTTCAGAGAGGATAAGGGGCAAAGGAAGGTTCCTGAGCAGAGTGCATAGGGGCTGGTCCTTGAGCAAGTGTATGAGAATTTCCTAGGGTTCGAGTCACACAAGCAAGGGGAGGTGAGTTGCTTTTTGGTGTTCTGGGCCCAAAAGTTTGAGCTTTGAAGTGAAAGTTCCTGGGTTTGGAACTAGACTGATTTTTCCTCTCCATATGACTTTGGAAAAATTACATATTTCAGTCTCCTTATCTGTAAATTCAAGATAATGGTAATACCTACCTTAAAGGTTTTTTGTAAGGATTAAATGAAATATTTAGGTTACAACAATACCTGTCACGTAATAAGTACTCAGCAAAAGTGCTGGCTGCCATCATAATTAGCACTGTTACCATCATAGCCTAGAATGAGGCCTGTGGGTTTCTCTGAGCATAAAGTGTGGATGCAAGGAGGCCCTCTGATCAGCCGTATTCATGAGCTCTTCCCCAATGCATGGATCTTGCAACTTAGACAAGTTTGCAAGCTATTTAGTTATTTATTCCTTTAATTATTAACACTTCTTCCAGAGAATCCATCTACTGCCATTTTAGAAACCTGGAGGAGTAAGCTTGAAGTTCTGTGTAGCCATCTGTGCCTCCAGAAAGCCGATCAAACCAGACCATGGGGCTCAAGGAAGTCTGGAGTGCAAGAGAGCCAGCAGCTTCTTGTAAATTTGGAAAAAAAAGGGCAAATTCCGAAACAGAAATCCACCACTGGCCCTGTTCTTCAGAATGCTTTGTTTGCATTTCATTTCTATTTGAAAGCTTTTTGCATTTTAATCATAAACATTTCGGTCATTCATTTAGGAAATATTTGTTGAGCACCTAATATGTACCAAGAGCTGCTCCAGTCGCTGGGAATACTTGGTTGTAAATGAATGGAGTCCTTGCCCTCATGGAGCTTGCAGTGTAATGTGGGAGACATAATAAACAGACAGATAACATAATTTTAGAGGGTGATGGAGCTGTGAGGGAAAATGAAGCTGAGTAAGGAGAAAGCATGCCGGGGCCGGGTTGCTACTCTAAGCAGGAGGCTCACAGAAGTTACTGTGTGGTAGTGCATTTGAGTAGAGACCTCACTGAGGATGGGGAGTGAGCCCTGCAGGTGTCTGAGTGGAAAGCACTGCTGGCAGCGGGTACAGCAAGTGCAAAGGCCCTGAGGTGAGAGAGGGGTTGGTCTGCTGACTGCCCTGAGGAAGCCTGTGTGCCTGGAAAGATGAAGCCAGAAGGTGAATGGTGTTGAGGTTGGCAAGGCCACTGGGGAGGATGCCACGGACCTGGTCATCATAACATATCAGGTGATTACTATGGTTATAATTTAGTCCACAACTGTGTTTACCAAACTGTGTGTTTCAGTAGACACTGTAACTCATAGTAGTAAACAGCATAGTTTGAGCATATAGGGGAAGTAGTTCCAATTTCTCTAAGTTAATCACCTAAAGCATTGCAACATATTTCCAAAACCCATGCGTCTTAAGCAGAGACATGTGCCCTAGTCTCGTGGGAGCTTTGTCCTTGTGTACCTGTCTGAGCCCCACTCTCAACTTACTGAATCAGAAGACGGGGAATGGGCAGAGGTGCTGGCATGTGTAGCTTGAATAATGTTTCCAGGTGATTCTGATAAGCAAGTCTAATTAAAACTGAAAATGAGCTAATAATAAACGTTGTGACTTTAATTCTCTTTTACTCTTCTAGTCTCCAAGGACTTTGTCTCCTACTCCATCAGCAGAAGTAAGTACCATTTTTGGAAATTATAATGGGTGGAATTGGGGAGTTACTTGGACCATTCCTAGACTCACATTTTTGCAAAAGGACAGAAAACCCGTGTACAAGATAATGATGAATGTAGGATTCCTTACGTGTAAGATATGACTGTAAGACCCAGAAGTAAATTTCTTTCTAAATGGAGACTAGGGAATAAAACCAGCCTTACCCTGCACCTCTGAGTGGTAGGAAAGAGAGTGGAGAATGGGGCCCCTTGTCCCGAGGTTGGGCTCTCTCCTCTCATCTGTAATTGATTGATCTGAATCCTAACCTCCTGATTACTGAAATGACCAGCAGTGGTCATGGTGTTTCTATCAGCAGAGCCATCTTCATGGGAGGCCACTTCTCTTAGTCTAAAATCAAGAGTCTTGTCCCCCCTCTCAGGGTAGACGGACCTTACAGTGGCTTTTATCAAGTCCACCAGGCTGGCTGTTCCCTCGGGAATAACCTCCTGAGTATCTGGATCACGTAGAGCTGTCAGTGATGGTTCCATAGTGAGCCATGGGTCCCCTATCAACCCAGACATGCTCTTCCCCTCTGCAGCACCCAGCACCAAAGACAGAGCCCCCAAATTAGTGACGCTCCCAAAACCCATTTTATTGTTCTGTAAAATGAAACAGCCCCTTCACACTACACCCCTGATCCTAGGAGTGTAACAGAGGTGCTTGGTGACCAGAGGTCTTAGAGGCACTTTCTGTTGTCCCAGCATAATTTTTCCCTTGGAGGGTGGCCTAAGCTCAGACCACCTCAAATCTGAGCATGGTCCAGGTCTAACCCAGCACTTTCATTTAAGCTATTACAGGTAATGATAATCAAGGGATTGTTTGTTAAGTGTGCTTCTTATTATTTTGTATTTCCTTATGGATCCAGTGAGCAAACTCCTCAGGGGTTAGGTCTACCCCCTTCTAAAAATAATAATAATAATAATTAATAAATAAAATCAGTCGTCTCGTCTTAAAGCTAAGTAACTGTCTGGATAGTCTATATAAAACTGGCCTGATCTTAGGTAATCACTATAATTTGAGATGGTAAAATCTCTGTAGTATTGTGGTTTATGACCGAGTGCTATGAATAACTAATTTCTATGAATATTCTGATCGTTTTCAACTGAAGTTATGAAGAATTAATTTCTATTATTGACCACTTGTCAATAATAGAAATAGTAATAATAGGTTGAGGCACATTATTGGGGGAATTTTGTTTTGTTGTTGTTTTAATTTATTGTTACAGCCACAACTAGGATCAAATCAAAGTTTTTTTGCCTCTTGCTCTCAAATTGCGCACGTCCATAGTTTTCGAGGTTTTAATTTAGTCCTTTTTCATGCATTCTTTCAAACTTTTATTTTTATTGTGCTAGTAGAAACTTCATAGGGCAACAAATCCCTAAAATGTAAAACGTTCCTTGTACTCTTCTAATTCTTTTAAAGTTTCATGTTATGTTTGTGTGTGTATGTTTTTTTATACTTTATACCTACAATATTCTTTTCTAGATTTGGACATGGTGACAGACTGGTGGTACTATTGTATTCCATTTAATTGATATGCCATAACTTAATTATTCCCCAGTTTTGTTGAGCACATAATACAAAGTTTTGTCTTTATAAATGGTGGCATTATAAATGTCTGAGGAAATTTTTCCACTTAAAGGTCGTTTAAAAAATTTTTTTTTTCTTTTTGGAATTTGCTTCCTAAAGTGGAAGTAGAATTACTGGATTTGAGGCCACCACAGGCTTGTTCTCCAGGAAAATCGACGTAAAACATCACCAGATCAACAGCATGGATGGTGTGGGTTGGTGGTTGGATCCAGGGATGAGATGAGAGTCAGGAGGCTGGTTCTGAAGCAGGCTCCACCTGCACACACCTGCACACTGGTCTCTTACCTGCGTGGAACCTTCTGAAGCATTCTGCATTTGTGAAGAAGGGAGGTGATACCATGTGTTCTACCTTCTTTATGATGCGGATCTGATGATACAACCTATGTGAACAGACTTCGTAAAACTGAAAAGCACAATATAAGCGTGGTCATTGGAATTATTCCCTCTTTTCCCAGAGCTCTATTAACACTGGAGTTTATCCTTTTTACATCTTAAAATCTTGGTAAAGGCAAGCACTATAGGTTTTGAACAAAAAGCACTAACCGTGGAATGCTTGTTTGCATACCTATTTAAGGAATATGGCCCTAAAGTGTATACATGAACAGGTAGACGGGATAGTTCCTGGGTGACTTTGGTGCAACTTGATTTCACTTGAACCTGACAACAGCCTGCATGTATGCCTTGTGCTCCCACTTTCTCGCACTTGCTTCCAGGGGTACCAGGATGGGCGGGACCGGATGATCCACCGGTCCACCAGCCAGGGCTCCATCAACTCCCCTGTGTACAGCCGTCACAGCTACACTCCAACCACGTCTCGCTCTCCCCAGCATTTTCACAGACCTGGTAAGGGCACCTGTTCCCGGGATTCACTCTCTATAGAGTCATCCGTGTTTCTATGTGATTGTTTTCCCCACCACTGATAGCGTATTTAAAAATCTGGCTGCCAAATCTATCTGCCCCTCTCCCAGAAAAAATTGCAAACTCCTATTCCATTGTAGTTTGTGTTATTTCTTTTCTCAAAACAAGAGTCATTTTATGGTTATATTCATTATGACTTATTAAATAATTACATTTTGACAGTGAACACCTAGAAGCAAAGGAGGTTTTTTGGGTTTTTTAGACTTGAAGAAAATCTCAGCACTTTGAGACTTAAAATGGAGATCTCCAAAAGAAAATACGGTGATGTGCCTTTTAGGCTTATCTAAAATCTAAATCCAGTATTAGTCATTTACTCGTGAGTTTATTATGTTTCCCCCATCCGGGCACATGGTATTACTAAGCATGCTTGGTTAAGAACCTGCTAGAAAGAAGTCTCATATACAACCTCGGGGTTGTATTTGGTAACTTTTAAGATGCCTTCCAACCTAAGATTTTGAATCAGACTTGGAAAATATAAAAGCACTAGAGGTGTGCTATGATGGAGAATATTAAGAGTAGTGGACCTCATTTACCTTTATCTTGGCAGAATGTAGCCCCTTTTACTATTAGTGGGTATCTCCTATGTAGAGGAGAAAAAGCATGGGGATCCCAGCACAGACCGAGGATTCCTGAGAAACAGATTCACCAAGGAAGATTTTGTCCTTCTAAACAAACTTGGTGTTGATATATGTCTATGAAGACTTCATTTTAAGCCCCTTGCTTCTGTGCAGGCTGATGAGAATAAGCCCATTCATATGCTAACGTATTTTATAAAATATAAACCAAAGGAAATGAACAGAATGTAAAAAGGCTGCAATCTTCTCTTTAAAGCCATAGATTTAATGCTTGTAGAGGATTAAATTTTTACTTTTTGATCCTTCAATAAAGTATAGTTTTCTCTAGACTCAAATATTTACTCAGTATCTGTTGAGTTACGTTAAAGGAAAATTTTTCAGGAAAGAAATTCCTTTTATTTTTCATGTACAATGATATTCATTTTACTTCTGGGTTTGGATTTATGCCATTTTCTGTCTGGGTGATGAGAAATCCTTTATGCCACCACCCCTACGTATGGGCATACCCTGATACTGCAGCCGTACCCTTATCAGAATGATGCGAAGTTCACTGGGAAATTGTTGTTCGAGAGAATCCCTGGATAGCAAGGGAGTGGTCAGCCAGGGACATTGTTTCCCTAAAAGGTCATGTCCTCATTGGGCAGTAGAAAGTTTTCCTCTGTTCTAGTCATGGTTCTGATGCCAAGAGCCTGTAGAACATTCCCCATTCTAAGCACTTCTCCTCCCCCTTCACAATGTGTTATGGACATGCGTGATGTCAGTTGTTAGGGCTCATAATTATTTTTCGAGATGGGGCTCTGCTAGCATAGTCATGGTCAGCACAGAGCACCTCAGAGTATCCACTCCACACGTTCTAGATACCAGAGGATGACGCACGTCCTTAGGTCTGGGCTTAGGTTAATGGTCCATAACTGAGTTTCCAGCTCCCCTGGTGTCACCACTACCCAATTCTCAGGATCACCGGTAGCTCTTTGCTACCCAGGAGATACAGACAGGTTTCCCTTCTACATAGGAAAAGTAAAATTAAACTTGCAGTAGGAGACGTTTGCAGCTTAAAAAACAAAGAATCTGACCCTTACATATAAGTATTTCTTTGCAAGGTTCTTGAAATGATTGTCGGTTTTGTACATGTGTTTCAGAGGGTTCTGTTTTGTCAGGTGCCTTTTAAAAACAGCTACAGTGGAGTCTAAGTGACGTGCCCAGTCCTGGCTCAGTGGTAGCTGGTGTCATGCTGACAGAACCTTCTGGTGGCCGTTCCCTCCCACTAAAACCATTTATCCTTGAAGAGTGAACTCTGTACTGACCTGGACCTGTTTGCAGACTCTCCCCACTTTGTGTAACCCTTCGTAGGTGCCTTCTTAACCCCTTTTCCTTCCTCCTTTTTCAGACTCTTGATTAACATTCTTTGTTTTTTTTTTCTCCCTTGGAACGATGGCGTTGTCCCTGCTCGTGTGTTAATTTGTGCTCTTCTTTTCTGTTTGCACCGTGTCCTGCCCCTGATCCTTGCTGCACAGAGCTGCTGTCTCCTGGTGTGCAGAGGTCCTTCCTGCACACCGGCAGCCTCAGCTCCGGCCACAGCGACTCCCGCCCCAACTCCCCTTTCCGACACCACTTCCTTCCCCATATCAAAGGTAAGGAGGCAGGCTTCTCCAGGCAGCACCCTGCATAGCGGAGATTTATTAGCACCCGGGGAAGGCTAATAAGGTGCATCTCCAAGAGTCAGCTCCGAGCTTTGGACTTCTCAGCATGCCTGCGTGTGTCATGACTACACCCAGCCGTGTCTTAGAACTGGCATAGCATCTCTCGTTAGGAGAAATATGTCATTTCTAAAGGGCTCTAGATGAAGAAACAGGAAATATGTTTGAGACCCTGAGATTTGTTATCTACTGCTTAAGAAAAATATATATTATTATTTTGGTTTTCTCTGGTCAAAAGCAAAATATAATATATATCTGGGGAATCTTCCTGGTTTTCATATGTGTTATGGCTCAGCAAAACACAACAGTATTCAGCAACAGGGGTTCCAAAGTTGTCTTAATGGTGATAAGCCACTTAACCATGTAACAATATTAAAATGTTTGGACGGTATGAAAGATCTATGGCAACGTAACTTAAATTTATCTCCTTGAGACAGCCCTTAGAGTAATCTTCCTTTGACCTGTCCTGATTTCTGCATGATGGAGAACAGGGACTTTGCCTTCTGTTTTCTGTTCCTGCCCATTTCTGCCCTTCCCTCTATGCCGTTCCCATCGTTCTCATTGTCTGTTATGTTTCCGTAGCCATTCTCAATCGAGTCAAGAGCCCCAAATTTAAAATAAGTAGGAGGAGCTCCCAGAGGATGCTTTTTCCGTAGTCTTGATTTGAACCAAATTAACCAAAGAAAATACCTTAAGGAGGGAGTAGCAGGCAAGCACAGATGTTGTCATGGGTCTTAAGACAGACCGAAGGGATTCTAACCCCGAGTTCCAAGAGCTCACATCACTAACACTTTCTCAAGCAGCCTAAGTGTTGTGCTCTTTGACTGAATTTCCTTTGCAGTCATTTTACAAGCATGCGATTTTAGCATTTTCTGTGCTGTAAAAATAACATTGCTGACAAGCTTATTTGAAGACACATACCGTTTGCCACTAGCAAAGAAATTTTTCAGCAGGTGCAGCACTTTCTAAAATTCTTGACAGGTTATTTAAAATTATTACTGCTAATTAGTATTTGGGGGAGGAAAGGCCTTTATTATTTAGATGTCAAGATGATACTTTAGAGAATGTCTATAAAACCATAAGAAATTATTGAAAAAAACTTCAGAGATGTATTTTAAAGAGACTTTAATATAGAAGCCCTTGGCCAAATTAAGATTTTTGTTTCTTTGTTTCTAATATGCAAGGGAAAATACATTTTTTAATTCATCAGAATGTAAACTGCCTTATTCGGTTATTATATATTTCATCTTTCAGAAAGCTACTTTGTGTAGGAAGAAAAATGTCATGTACCCTATAAAGTTATACAGAGTTTATACAAATAACACATCACAAAATATCAAGACTCAATACCTCGTGCTTGTGCACAGCCTTATGGCGAGATGGGCACCCATGTGGACACTGGAGTCCCGGCTTTGAATATTATCTCTGTCACATGCTAGCTATGGGACCTTGGATTGTAGACTTAACCTTTTGAGTGCCACTTGCCTCATCTATGAAACCTCTCCTAGGGTATTAGGGTGTGTGAGGTCGTCGACTGAAAAAAAAAAAAATCACAACGTGACAGCTGTGAATTAAATTTTATTTGGGGCAAAATGAGGGCTATAGCCCGGGAGACAGCACTGCAGATAGCTCTGAGAAACCGCTCCAGAGAGGTAGGGGGAAGGTCAGTATATATGTGATTCTGGTGAAGGGAGAGTACATGCAATCAAGCACGTATTTTTTGCAGAAGGATTCTGCTAGTCTCGAGGAGCAGATGTCACCATGAAGGATTTTAGTGCTTTTCTAGATAGGAGGAGATGCAAGAATTGGGCTCATAAAATCTTCTCCTGAAAGTATCTGACTCTCTGAAGACCTGTCCTGTCAGTTTTTCCCAGAGCACAGAGCGCTTCGTTCCTGCTCTCCACCCTGAGCTCCTTTCAGGGGGTGTTGAAGGTCACCAGCTGCTGTGGCCCACGATTTCATCCTTATGGAGGTACATGGCAAGCACCTATTTGTAGTTGGCAAGGTGAAATGCCCTGGTGTGTAGTGAGCACTCAACTCTGGTCCCTCTGTGATTTCCCCCTTGGCATGGTGTTCTTAGAGCGCTTCCGGTTGCATCAGTCCATCACTCTTCACAGCGGCCCTATGAAGTAAAGCAGCAGGGGGCAGGCATGGGGGTGGATGAAGAGCTGAGGCCCTGGTTAAGTGACCCGGCCAAGGACTCACAGCTAGGAAGTGGCAGCACCAGGACTAGATAGACCCCAAGCCTTCCCATCCCTCGTTCCTATGAGGGGAGTGTGTTTCGGTCTAAATGCTATACACGAAGTATAATTTTTAAAGCAAACTTTTATTTTCCATCTCTTTTTAACTAGAAAATTGCATTCTTATGGAGGCCAAGACAAACAGCTACTTTCAGGCATTTAAACTACAAAATTAACTTTTCAATAGAAATAATAAGTGGTTAGGAAAATTACAGTACTTCAGTGTGCCTAAATCGTGCTTTATTAAAAGTGTAGATACACAATCTTTTCTTTTTTCAGTCTGAATTCGAAGTACACAGTCAAATAGTATAGGTTTAAATTATAGAAAGCAATAGTTTGTTACTTCAAGCTTACGCTTAAAAAATATCTAATGGTCTCTCTCCCATTTTCTTTTTACTGGATATATGCCTACA